TTCTCCTCATACGAGTGTATACGTGACTCAGATATTTCGCATTAGGAACAAACAGCCCGCGCGGAAGAGCGAATATTGCCGTGGGTGGAAATTGGCTGTGAAAAGTGACACTATTTGATAAGGAGATTGTGGGATCGGGGTGTGATTCTTTGGACTTTTTACAGCACTACTATGGTAAGCGCATCAGGAGCCGCGTCTGCCATCTGTTACTGCTTCCTCGGAGGGCAGACACACATGATTATAAAAAACACACACACACACACATGAATGGACACCCGATTGGCTTGATTGTTCGCATGAACATGTTTACGAACGCTGGGAATGTAATGGAAAATGCTTCTGGGGGGAAAAAATCTGTTTTAAGAAAGTAGATGAGGCTCATTTTTGAATCCATATAATTTATATTCAACAATTTAAAGGTCCCATGAAATTAAAATAAAGTTTTTTTAGATGTTAGTATCAGTATTATTTGTTTTAGGATATCTATAAGCCAGTGTGGCACAAAACATTGACAAAATGTACATTTAGAAAATATAAAACTGATATAAAACCATAATAACCAATCAAATGCTCTCCAGTATCTGACATGCCCCACCCCCTTCAATATGCTTCTCATTTGCTTTTTTTTTTTTTTTTTGATGCACTTGAGCTTAACCACTCTCACTGGCAGAGCTGTAAAAAAATAAAACGCTATTGGTTGTATTTTTAAAGGGGAGGAGCTACTCTATGTCCCACCTTCTCATCGTATTTCAGTTTAGATTGTGTCAAACATCAAATAAAATGCATATTTCAAAGCACTTAACAAATGAAAAGGGTTTATTGCTGAAAGAGTGGATGTCATTGTGTAATGTAGGAAATATGGATGGACAATATATTCATATAACCAATAACAGAACTTTTGAATGAACATGTACAAATTTATATTTTATTTGAAATTCTTTTTGAGAAAAATACGCAAACAATTTAATAACTATTTGCACCATTTAATTATTATTTTCTTTTTTGTTTATATTGTGGGATGATATCTAAATATATATTTGAAATAAAATAAAATAAAAATAAAATAAAAATAAAAACAAAATAAAATATTAAATAAATAAAAAATAATAAAAAAATAAATAAAATAAAAACAAAACAAAACAAAACAAAACAAAACAAAACAAAACAAAACAAAACAAAACAAAACAAAACAAAACAAAACAAAACAAAAATAAATAAATAAATAAATAGATATTACTATTTTAAAAAGCTTTAATTTATTTATTATGTTATGGGGGTAGGCATTTTTTTAATAAAATTATTAAAATTGCAATTCAAGAAAATACGGAGAGATATATATGCTTTTATTAAAATAAAAAAAAATTCTAATTCCATACATTTTTAATCAAAAGAAAATGCTAAACCAATGGAAATAAAATTACTTTTTGTGCATATATAAGTTTTTTTACACACTTTTCCATAATATTATGTAGTTTCAAGGAAATAGTTTTTTTTTTTTTTGTATGTTTACATGTTAGTTATATAAATATTATATATATTTATATTTATATATAATATTTATATATTATATATATTTTAGTGCATCATCCCTAAATGAAAGTCAGAGCAGGGTCACGAATCTAGTGAACAAGCATGTGGGTTGAATGAATGAAGAGAGAAATCCAAGCAGAGGAGGTAAATGAATGAGAGTGGTCTGACTAAAAGGGTTTGCTGTGTCACATCTCATAATTGAACAGGTCTCAAAGGAGCATTCAAGCCTCATTCCATTCATTCCTGCTCCTTTGAATGAATCTCTGCAGACTCACAGATGTTTTCATTTAACCGATCAAGGTTCTTTTCCATATTGATCCAGTTCATCTATTCTAGATAAACCCCCTCGTGACTTCATCAGTCAGATACTCCAGTTCACTTTTAACCAAGCAGATCATGTGGGCTGTCATGTGGGTTAAGGCCACGTCTTGCACCACATAACCCAAAAACGTCACCAGACTCTTTATCAAATACGCGGCTTGAATCAAAAGCATCAAAGGAAGTGACGGCAAGCCACTCATTAGGCTTATGATTCAGACCAAGCAAAAGTGATGCACAGTCAGACACATTTAATAAATAAATAAACCAATAAAATTGTTTAAAAAAAGTATTGAAAATATACCGCATCCAACTGTTCAAAAGGTAACTCTGCAAAACACAGCAATATATGCAAACTACTGAACTAAAAACTAACTAAAAATTACTTAAAGTAAAACTAATAATAAATGTGATTCTTACAATTAAATTTTTCCCCATTGTAAATTTCTCTACATTTCAAGTTTGCAACTGAGAAAAAGGGTCAACGTTTTTAGTACTCTCTCAGAATTATTTTCATTCATGACCTAAACAAGAAAAAAAAGTCAGAATAATAGGATGTAAACTCAGAAATGCAAGCAACAGAGTGTAAGACGTCAACCTGAAAATGCAATATACAGAAGAACTGCAAGACAGAAAGCATTGCAGAGTGGAAACTCAGAACTGCAAGAAAGAGTCAGAACTGTGAGCTGTAAACTCAGAATTGAAAAAACATACTTGGAATTGTAGGAAACAAGGTCAAGAATGCAAAACTAATTCAGAATTAAAGTGGAAAGCCAAAACTCATGATTTAAACAAACTAAATATTACAATAAGTAAACTAAGAATTGTAAAAAAGTCCAAGTTACAAGATATAAGCTTGAAAAGGTGATTAAATAATCTCTACAGTGCAATATTAATAGCAAAAAATATATAATATATATAAATATAAATATAATAAAGCTATTTAGGTTCAAGAAATTATAAAATTGGTAGCTTAAATATTAAATGTATACAGTTTTTTACATAATGAAGACTATTGAATCGATTATTGTAGTGAATATATTATAATGAAGACTAAATATTGCATATATTTTTATTTAAATATCATATTGCAAAAAAATGAATTATTTCGAATTGTGATACAATTTATGTCAATAACAATGAAAAGCTTTGGCCTTTTTTTACCCTACATTGATTTAAGAGCCATTCACACAGCAGAAACGTGCAATGGGATATATATATACACACACACACACACACACACATATATATACACACACATTTATTTGTCCCAATAATGAGAATTAAACGTCTAAAGGGTGCCAGATTGAGTACTAAACATTGAAGGTTATCATGTGGCGAAAACCCCTTGAATAATGTACAGCTCCAGAGTTCCAGATGGTGAAAACTCGTGCTAGACTAATGTAGACGAGACTAAATACATAAAAACATCTTCCTGTTGAAAAGAGGTGGTGGAATAATGAAAACAGTTAACGTCTACGCCATACTCTGCAGCAGTTCATGCTGTAGTGCAGACTACAGGCACTAAAAATACATGGAAAACAGCTAAATTATAACTTACACCAGAGCTAAAATCTAGCATAGAGGCAGGAGAATAAAAGTGGAAAAGGGCATGTGTTCAATTACAGTCGGCCAAATAGAAACGCTTTGAATTTGACTACAAAAGCAAAAGACTGAAAGAAAGAGGGAAAAAAGAACAGGGGTTTGTTGAACTATTGTCTATTTTATGCCAAGAAATAAAGAAAGATTCACTTATCTACTCTTTTTATCATAACACCTGTTTATGTGAACTCAGCAAACTGCTTTGATTGGGATTATCAGCTTCATCTCAGCAAACCGTTCCAAACGGTTAAACCACTCTAAAAGAAAATTGCAGCCATTTCTAAAACATGCATTCAATGCTCTTTAGTAATCAGTTCTAATCTGGAAGTAATAGTTTTTTTTTTTTTTCGCAGTGCCAGGTGCACTGTTTCATATCATAGCGACTCAACAGATGAAGCCCTTTGGCTAGAGCACTAAAACGCAGGCTATTCCAGCCAACAGAAGAAAACCAGGCACATTCAGACAGCAATAATGAATTACTTTTTTAGCTCTATGTTGAAGTAATCACTAATAGTTCATACTAAAATAAATCAGGGCTGCATGACATAAAAAAATAAAAATAAAAATAAAAAAGTATAATTATAACTGATTATAATTATATAGAACAACAAATGCATCTTAAAAAAAATGTCATACAAGTGACATTATATGAAAGGGATAGTTCACCAAAAAATGTAAATGTTTACTCATTCTTTACTTGTTCCAAACTTGTCTTGAATGCAAAAGAACATATTAGGAAGAATGCTGGAAACCTGTAACCATTGACTTATACAGTAGGAAAAACAAATGGAGGTTACGGATGGAGGTTACAAAATTCCAGCTTTCTTTAAAACATCTTCTTTTGAGTTCAACAAAAAAGGTTTGTAACCACTTGAGTGAGTAACCAGTGAGTTAATACATTTTTTGGGGCGTGAACTATCCCTTTAACTACAAAAAAACATCAATTCTGATGCTACTTTACATTGTTCTCTCAAATATTCTCATTCACGCTGAAATCAGTCAGAAATTACAAAGATTGAAAATGCAGCAGTCAACATTTGAACTATCATCAATGTTGTCCTAAAACTACACTCTCCAAATAAAGGTAGAAAAGCTGTCACGGGGGCGGTACCTTTTCAAAAGGTACACTTTTGTACTTTACAGCTGCACATTAGTACCTTTAAGTCAGTGTTTCTCAGCCACATTCCTGGAGGACCACCAACACTGCATGTTTCAGATGTCTCTGGTTAAAGAGCCATGGAAAATGTGCAGAGCTGGTGGTCTTTCACAAACGTGGTTGAGAAACACTGCTTTAAGGTACACTTTTGTACCTTAAAAGTACTAAGAGGTACAGATTTCTATTTTTTTTAGGTATTACCATGTACCTTTAAGGGCCTGTTAGGAACAAAAACATACTTTTTCAAAAGGCACCGCCCCAGTGACCAATTTTTTCTGAGGGTGTATTGAACCACATTCATTTAAGTCAATTTTAAAAAACTTTTTGGATACACAAATGTTGACTCCTGTACTTTGTTTAGCATTCTGCTGGAAAAAGCGATCTGTTCTCTCACCTGATTCTCATCCTGGACGACTCTGTACTGCTCCTTCCACACGCTGATCTTAGAGGCTTCATCCTTACGCAGGGCGCGCTCCTTCTTCAACTCGGGGCTCCAGAAGGTCTTAATGGAGTTCATGGAGGAACTGAGTTTGCTCTCCTTCACGTCCACCTCCTTCCGCAGGAGCTCGTTCTCCCGAAGCACCTCCTTGAGCTGCGTCTGCAGGTCCATGATGGTGTTGTCCCGCGCCTGCCGTAGCGAATGAGGCACAGTGGACGCCAACGTGGAAGGCATATGGTGATCTCCGAAAGCAATTGCATCAGTGGTGCCAGGGGATCCAGTGGCGATGTTTGGACTGGATCCCATTACAGTCGTGCGGACGCCGTAGGGGACTCGTCCACCGGTGCGACCCAGGGTCATGGTGCTTTTGGGCAGGTCTGGACCAGATGTGACCACCTCATTGTCACTCATGTACATGGGCCCGGATGTGGCATAGGCGGCGTTAAGGGATTGAATGTTTTCCATGGAAAGGGTTTTACCACCTGGACCGGCACCGGCTCCGCTACCCCCTGTGCTATTAGTGCGACGATGGCCGAGACGGGGGGACCGAGGGAGACGGGGTGAACGCCCAGGACTTTGGGTGCTCCCACTAGTGTGGTTGCCTTCCACTTTGCCCACAGATCGGGCACTGCCATACATGGTGGCTCTGGTCAGTGAACGGCAGGGGTAAAGAGAATGCAGATGTTTTTGGTGGAGATGGTGATCTCTGTAAACCTAGTAAAGGGTCTGTGATCTATATTTAAATAGTGCAATGTCTCATCTTCTTGAAGAGTTGCTGGTTTTATCCATTTATTCTGGTCATGTTATATTTCTGCAACAGAAAGAGAGAGAGAGAGTGAGCATTTACAGCTTTAACAAACTTGGTCACTTCAGAACAGTGGTAGGGAAACTGTGGCTCTCAAGCCACATGTGGCTCTTTGACCAGATACATGGCTCTCCAGCTGTCTTAGTTCAAAAATATTTTACAGTCTAAAAAATTATAACCATCAGTAGAAATCAGTTTCCTATTGAAAATACAATTTTTACGTTTCGACCAATGCACGTGCGCGGTGCTGTGGATAAACTTTAATCGTGACACCAATAAAGGGCAAATGTGTGTGCATGGTTACCATATAAATATACGTTGTTTTAACTTTTGTTTACTTAATAATAGTAAAATATCATTTTTGTTTTTTAAAACTAGTAAAAATTTATATAATAACAATTATATATGTTCTTTAAAACTAGCCAAAATTACTGCCGCAAACTTTATTTTGAATATTTTCACGCAACTATGTATTTTTTTTATAATAGTAAAATGTTTGCTTATTTTAAATTGTGTTGCTTTTCAGAAAAAAAGAGTTTATTTACCAGAATAAAAAAAAAATGTCTTTCTTCATTGATGGACATGACGATGCTCCATATTTGTTTATTTCTGATTTGTGCATGAACCTAAAGGTTTTGTTAAAACCTGTTTTATTTATAGTAATCGTATTTTATTGGGGTGCATATTTGCGTGTGTGTGTGTGTATACATACATACATACATACATACATACATACATACATATATACATATATATATATATATATATATACTCCAATTGCTCTTTTAAAAAATGCATTTGCCAAAAATATCAGAAATGGGCTCTTTGCTGAAAAAAAGGTTACCCAACCCTGCTTTAGAATAATGGTCCATAACTTAATGCTAGTTAATGCAATTATTTAAATGAATTAAGCATAAATAACCTTGTAAAACATTAATTATTCATAGTTCAACATTTATTAATGCATTATTAAAATCCAATGTTGTGCTTGTTAACATTATTTCACATCAACTAACATGAATTAACGTTATTTAACTTAAATTACAATAACTAATGTTAACAAATATGAAGTAATACCTTTATAAATTAGTCACTGGAGCGGTACCTTTTCAAAAGGTACACTTGTGTACTTTACAGCAGCACATTTATGTACATTTAAGCCAGTGTTTCTAAACCACATTCCTGGAGGACCACCAGCACTGCACGTTTCTGATGTCTCCTTTGTCTGTCACACTCATTACAGGTCTTTTAGTCTCTGCTAACGAGCTGATGATCTGAATCAGGTGTGTTTGGTGAAGGAGCCATGGAAAATGTGCGGAGCTGGTGGTCTTCAATGAACGTGGTTGAGAAACACTGCTTTAAGGTACCATAAGGTGCAGATTTTTACTTTTTTTTTTTAGGTATTAACATGTAAGGAAAGATGAAGTAATACCTTAATAAATCTATTACTACTTTTATGATCAGGTTGGTAAATACATTAACTAATATTATTTAATGGATTAATATTTTAACATTAGAAAAAGAAACACACTTTTCTAATAAACAGCACAAGGCACTATTGCAACATCAAATATTTTCAAGATCATCCACACTATTTATAATAATTAAAATCAATTAAGAATCTTGCACATACCATTCATTCATTCATTCATTAGCTTTTCGGCTTAGTCCCTTAATTAATCAGGGGTCGCCACAGCAGAATGAACCGCCGCACATATCATGTAAAAAAAAATCAGTTATATTTTGTTGTAGATTATTTTTGTTTTTCTTCTTTCTACTCATACTAGAGAGCAAATTTAGCTTTTTAATAGCTAAATTTAGTAGCTAATTTTATATTTTAAATTATATTTTAATTTTAAATTTAATAGCTAAATTTAGCTTTTAGCTTTACAAATATAACGTTCGGCAATAAACTATATACATTTTAACATATTTAACCAAGAACAAACACTTCTGCGGAAATAAATTATGTTATAACAATTATATAATAGCAAAAACAAAGGTTTTAACTTGTTACATATGCAAAGGTACGGACAAAAATGTCTTCTCTCACACTACAGTAAGGATATTTGTCAGCACTTTGGAGAGAAGAAGGAAGAGTTAAAACAATTCCTGTGTACAGTCGGATGATCTTATAATTTGAGATATACTGGTCAAAACACTTCCCATAATAAGAACTGATTTCCTTGCAATAATAATAAAAAAGCAATCTGCAGCTGTATTGTTCATGTCTGTGCAGTGAATAAATGTACTACAGTAGTACTTATGTGATACAGATTTGAGCATGAGTAAGAGTATGATGCTGAATACAAACAACCAAATACTGCAGATTTGTTTTGATATTGTCATGTTTGATTGATTTAGGCATTTCATTCTTCTTTTTATTCAGCTACAGCTTGATGTTTTTACTTTTTCTGTGATGAAAATGTAGAGTTTATGCAATTGGTCCCTCTAGCTTCCAGTATGAATGAATCGGATATTTCATTATGTCAGTGTTCACACTATTGGTCAAGAATACCAGAAATCTCAATCAGATATCTCAATATAGATTTAACGTCACATCGCTCTCCCTGTCACATATTTTTATCATGATATCAGAGTTTTCCCTGGCGCCTACTGTTCCCAGAGAGGAAATAATAGGCTAATGAACAGGTCTGGCTTTAACCTCCTTCACTGGGCTCTATGTAGGTCACTCACATGCCACACTGTATTTACTTTAGCTCCGTGGCTTCACTCCAACACCTATTTTGCACTCTCAGCTCCACTTCTGTCTCTCATACCTTATCTCTCTCCATCTTCTCCCCACAGTCCTTTATTATCAGTGGAAACTTTCATTAATATCCGACAGGTCTCATATGTTTTAGTTGAGCTGCTATTATGTAATATACCATTATTTTTATTTTATATTCCTATTAATGCTTCACATCTGCAGATTTAATTTTGGAATTATTGAGAATTAGCCTGTCAGACATTCACATAATTGTAAAAATATGTATTTTTGCACAAACCCTAATACACTGAATACTAATTATTGCATAAATGTCCATATTTACAGTACATCGAGATTCAAAACAAACATGAGAATCCAGGAAATGTGGAAAAAAAATATATAAATAAATAAGTAAATAATATTAAGGACTAAACTATATTATAAGGAAATGCTACTAAACTGCCATAATAATAAAATTACTTTTGTATTTAATCAAAATCATCTAATAATACAGGTTTGTTGCTTTTTCGATAGCTAGTTTGTATTCATTTAGCTTTTATCACTTTAAAAATAAACAATATATTTTATAATATACCTTATAATATTAATAAAAATGTCTGCAGATGCTAGATTCAATGTTTATGAGTTTTTCACAGGGACTGCTTTTTTTATGATTTAAAATAAACAAAATGCTAATAATGTTTAATTATAGCTGTACAAGTCAATAAAAAGGCACTGATGGTGCCTTTTAAAACCAAATCTTTAACCACACACGAACACAGCGATGTACATGCTCAAAGAAAAGCACTGTTTGTTTGAGTCACAAGCGGCAGCTGCCTTTTGTCTTGTGTGTTGTGTGTTTATCCCTGATGAAATACCTCATTGTCTCTTGTAAAACACTTCTTTGTTTTGTAGCAATGCCAGGTCACATGATGCATGACGAGTGGCCCTTTTGAACTGACGATGATGCTATTTTACAGGGAGAACATGCAAACTCCACGCAGAAACGCCAACTGACTCGAAGATGTAACGTTATGTGTATTAAAATGAAACAACACATTTCTGAGTGTGCTTCACATAGGTGAGTGGGCTTGACAAACCACCTGTAGAAACACTCCTCTCTCTATATATGTACCAGAAACTTTTCTTAAACTCAATCTAACAGGGACTCAATAGGCAAACAATGATTACTTGTGAAATTACCATGAATAATGTTGCTCTTTTTACTTTTTCAACCTTAAAATCCTTGTTAGCACAAAATATTGCACAATATTGTTTCTGTTTTACATGAAATACTTGTATAGTTTGCCTAACCTTATGTCTATAGTTAACTATTTGTAGTATACATATAGTTATGTGTAAAAATGACTCTTACGCCCAGTGTTATGTTTCTATTTGTTTTATTATTATTTTTGTAGCACCGTGATCCAGCGAGACATGACATTTTGTGCCAATTTATGTCTACACGTGTAGTGGAATGACAATAAAGCTTAACTTGGCTTGAAAAAGTATTAAACGCATGAAAAAAGGAGGTGTAAAAAAGACATGGAAAGCCCAGACAGCAGCTGAAATCTCTCAGTAGCTAGAAAGCAGCCCTTGCCTCTCATCAGTGTAAATTAATACTAGCTTGCTTTACATTACTAGGATGATGACGATGAAACCAGGGTGGACATTTCAGTGAGGCAATGATCCAAAAGACAGCCAAGAAATCTCTCAAATGCTTTCAGAGAAAGAAAATAAAGCTGCTGGAATGGCCTAGCCAATGACCTGACCCAGGCCCGGATTGGCTATTTGGGAGGACCGGGAGAATTCCCGGTGGGCCGGTCCGTTTTTTGGCCGCGAGGGCCGGTGTCTCTAGCTGCTTGCACTCTCAGCAGTCGCACTTTATTTCATTTATTTATTTATTTGACCATAGCCTCACTCTTTTTATTCATTATTTTGCCGCAGCTCCGCGATTTTTATTTATTTTCTCGCAGCTCCGTGAGCAAAATGCAGCCTGCAGGTTAATGATGACGTAACTATTATTCGACCCCAAACAGCGGCACCTTAGTGAATATAAAAATTCAAATAATTAATATTAATGAATATTACACCTGCTCAATGAAATCAGATGATTCACTACATTAATAAATCTGACATAAATTGGTCAGAAATCTTGAGAGGGGAGAAAAAGATTAAGCCGTCAATAGACAAGTCTATAACAACAGCACCATTGTGGTCCAGTGATCAGCACATTGCAATATGACACAGCAGGACCCGAGTTTGATTCTTACCCATCTAATTTAATTAAAAAAAT